GCTGGATGAATTCATCAGCTCTGATTAGAGCATCAGCTCTGATTAGAGCAGTGATTGGTCCTGAACGGGCTTCTTCTTTTAATGTTTATTTGGTTTTATCTATTTATTTATTTCAGCCTATGTATTCTTGGGCTTTGGATGGGATTGTCCGCGGGGACTTGGAAGGAAAATAGAACTCATCTTCTACATCCGCTGCGTAGTAGGTAGCCAAAGCTACGGGGGGTTGGGTTGCGAGAGAATGAAACCACCGGATTGACGAAGGGCGAACAAATTTGACAAAAAAGATGTCACTGGGGAATTAACAAATGAATGACAGTGGCTAGCAGGGTAGTTATCCCATCAGTGCCAGCCAGGTGCAAGGGGCCCCCATGTTCCCCTTGTCCAATGTCCAGTTGATGCCCCCAGACTCCACCCCGAGCCCGCTAAGGATACTACTACCGCCAAACCAAACACGGCCGGTGGCTTTATTAACTACTGTCAGTCATTAATTCTCTGCGCCGTGCACAACCTTGTAACTACTCCGTACTGTACGCTGTACATGCACGTACGTCCTTGTACGGGATGTACGGATTACAGCGTACGGAGTACATCCCGTGGTGCTGGCGCTATTATTCTCCGTCAGCTCTCTCGCACAATCTCACACTCTCTCCTCCCACTCCCTCCTCCCAACCAACCACTAGCTAACTCTCTCCGCTTCCACCTCAACCTCCTCCTCCTCCACCTCCTCCTTCTTTCCTCTCCCTTCTGTGTGCGACTGGGTATGGTATAGCAGCAGGAAATAGAACACTCCTTTTTCTTCCTCCAATTCAGTCCTTTTTTTTCTTTTCTTCTCTTACGGTCACTCCCATCCCATCACACACACTCCTTCTGCCTGGCTGCTGCTATCCCGTCCTTCCGTCCTTCCGTCCTTCCGTCCTTTTCTGATTATTACGACTTCTAAAGACACAAGGGTCCCGCCCCCTTTTCGCGTTACTTCGTTTCAGGGACCACTCTTCCTCATTCTGCTGGCTCAGGATTAAAGATTAAACAAAAACGAAACCTGCTTCGTCGGATCCAATATCACTTACTGTACTACAACTCCCACCCCCATTCCAATCGGCCTATGCTTGTGCCTTGAAGAATCTAAACTATACACCGAACCAACCCAGTCCTGCATCAATCCATGCTCTTCGGAAGCAATACCAAGCACATACATCCATCTGCCCGTTGCCCTTAGGTCCTTGATCCAAGCTGTGGATCATTTTGACTACCCCTCCCCCCTCCCTCCCTAACGGCACTGTACCATCATTGCCATCATAATTATTGCCCTCGTTGCAATTAAAGTCCTGTGTTAATGGTACCCGGCGCCACAGGGTGACAAGACAAGGCCTTCCTTCCCGCGCTCTCCGATCGACAAGTGCGAAGATCTGGTGGAACTGTTCCATCCACGTCTGCACAATTGCTGCCCCCCTAAACCAAAGCAAGCAAGCAGCCCAGCAATCTGCTGCATCAATCATCCTGCCGGTCTTCTGACAGCAACTACGACTGCATCTCCACTGCATCACACGCCCTTGCGTCAAATTCTTCCTTATTTGCGGTTCTCCATATTATATCGTCATTCACTTTGAACAAACTCATTTAAATACACGTCCCAGGATTCCGTCTTTATCAACTCTCCGGACGCTTCTTTTTCGGGTACCGCTCTGTGGCCGGACTACAAGTATTGAACCCAGAAAACTCAGAAAACCCAGCTTGGCCTGGCTTTATTATTTTTCGCTTCTTCACCTCTACATTTAGTTTTCGCGGGGTTCCTAGAGGGAGCTCGCGAACGGAACAAAAAGACACCCATTATGAAATCTGCACATGTACTCCTATCAGTTTTCGGCACAGTAGTTGTTGCAGAGCACGAGAAAAGGGCAGGTGGTGGAAAAAAAGACAAAGGCCCTACCGAAGCTGATCTCCTCAATGACAGTCTCGGACGCCTGTCCCTCTTAGTTGGAGGATGTGTCCTCGCCTTCTTCCTCGTATGGCACAATGCCATTCGACTTTCAAATCATATACGCCGGCTCACGACCCTCACCAATGATTCCCAACGATATTTCACATCAGCAGATCCCTACTGGGCCTGGTTGAAGAGGTCGGTCGTATACGCTCCTATATTTCGAACGCGACATAACCGGGAATTCCGTCTTTCTGCTGCCGTGAACGTTGGCACTCTTCCTACCCGTTTCCAAACTTTCCTCCTGTTGGGGGTCATTGCCATGAACGTGGTCCTCTGCTGCGTCACGATCCCATATGCGTCAGATGAAACCACTGTCCTGGGTCTCATCAGAAACCGGTCAGGGACCATGGCAACGGTTAATTTAATACCACTCGTTGTCATGGCAGGGAGGAATAATCCTCTTATCAAATTACTCAACGTTCCTTTTGACACCTGGAACCTTCTGCATCGTTGGTTTGCACGGATCGTGGTTTTGGAGGCCCTCACCCATGTTATCGCGTGGATGGTAAACAAAGTCAATACAAGTTAGTCCTCCCAACGTTTTTTTTTCCCCTAAAATTTAAAACGTACCATAACATGCCACTAACACGCCAAAATAGAGGGCTGGGGGGCGGTCCAAGCAGCTTTCAAAAGCCAATTCATCATGACCGGCCTAATTGTGAGTACAACATCCATGCAATATATCTCTTGGGAAACATAGCTAATAGAGACCAGGCAATTATTTCTTTCGTGGTACTAGCTCTGCATTCGCCGTCTGCAATTCGACATGCATTCTATGAGACCTTCCTACATTTCCACCAGCTCTTCGTGGCCACCGCTTTCGCCACTTTGTGCGTGCATTTGAAGTCAAAACCTGCACTGAAATATATCATTTCAGCCATCGTGCTGTGGGCAGCTGAAGTGAGTCTGGTTCCTTTTGCTTATATACATTCTCGCATAAATTCCCCCCTCCTTGTAGCATACCTCTCATTAACACGTTGCAGCGTATAACCCGCTTTTCCCTCATCATTTACCGAAACTTCGGTAAGAAACGGATCACTACGGCAGTTGTTGAAGTTCTACCCGGAGAGGCGCTGCGCATCACGTTGAAACTTGTAAGGCCATGGAAATTCAAGCCTGGCCAGCACCTGTATCTCTACATGCCGTCTGTGGGATTCTGGATGTCTCACCCCTTCTCTGCTGCATGGAGCGAGACAGTAGATGACCTTACCGAAGAGAAGGGCCTTGTCAAGTCTCGCCAGGATGTTCTCAGTACGCAGAAGTCAACCATTTCTTTGATTATCCGTCGAAGAACAGGCTTCACAAATACGCTGTTTGAACGGGCAAGTGCCACCATGGACGGTCGCATCTCGCTCAAGGCTGTGGTAGAAGGGCCCTATGGAATTGACCACTCCCTCGACTCTTACGGGACCGTTTTGCTGTTCGCGGCCGGTGTTGGCATCACACACCATGTATCCTTCGTCCGTTATCTTATTGAAGGTTATACCCAGGGCACCGTTTCTGCGCGGAGAGTCACCCTGGTCTGGATCATCCAGTCACCAGAGCACCTCGAATGGATCCGGCCCTGGATGAACACAATCCTGTCCATGGAAGGGCGCCGCGATATGCTTCGCATCATGCTCTTCATCACCCGACCGCGAAACACGCGCGAAATCCACAGCCCCAGCTCAGCCGTCCAGATGTTCCCCGGCAAACCCAACATCCAAACGCTCGTGGATGCCGAGATAGAAAACCAGATCGGAGCCATGGGCGTCCTTGTGTGTGGTACGGGTAGCTTGAGCGATGATGTCCGCCGAGTATGCCGTACGAGGCAATCCGGAATCCATATTGATTTCTTAGAAGAGAGCTTCTCGTGGTAGATTAGAACTATTTCTTCCAATTTCTCTCTTTTCCCCCCACCGACTTGTCTCGCTCTTCCTCAACCCCTTGCGGCGCGCTCCGTTTTCCCTTCCGTGGCAGAGTTAATGCTTACTCTCGCTTTTTGCTCCCCATCTACGCTTCTTGTACTATAAGATGGCGGGGAAATAAAAAGGGGCCGGAGAGAAATGATATTTTTCATGTCTATATTTTAATATATACATACAACCCACCCTTCCATCCACACCTTCTCTATCCTCTCCTCATCCTATCTCTCGAACCCGATTTGCGACCTTCACGACAAAACAAATACTTGTTTTCGGTGATTCTTGTTTGTTTATTCGCTCACGTACGGAGTACTTTCCGTTTTTCTCAAAAAAAAAAAAAGAAAAAAGAAAAGGGGGGAGAAACAGCCTCCGTTCCGTTCCCCCTTCTTTCTAAATCACATTTTATCATATATATATATTTTCATTGTACGTATTTTAGGATATAAACTATGTAGCTTCGGTTTTGTTATATTGACTTGGACACATATTCTGAAACGAGCAAGTCGAATACAATTTCCTCGCAAGATCTACAAAGTGATACAAGCCTCCCCTATTGACTCACGAAGACCCCCCCCCCCCCCCCTCTTACCACCCTTCATTTTACTAACATCGTGTCGTCGAAACGACAACAACAACATTAATATCAGTATTATTACTATTACTATTATCATGAGATCCACCGTACCCATGGAGGTAGCATCTTGCAGCGGGTCTTCTCCGCGGTGAGTGACATACATACAGCACGAGGTCACAAAGGAGTACATCCAAGTACAAATTGCAACCATTCAATAATTTGCTCGTTGTTTGTGGTATCATCATCTTTCTGCACATTATGCGCCCCGCGCACGCTCCGGGGAAAAAAACTTGCAACGCCAAGTCGCATGGAATTTTTAGTACGCACCACCGCACTCCTATCTAGGTTTAAATGCCCAGATTGCGGCTGTTTAATGGCATGACGTAATTTTGATTTTGTACTGGGTGTATATTTTATAGATAAAATTACATATCTAATCAGATTCAGATTACGTAATAATGAGATTTAGTTAATTAGGGGTCTAACCATACAAGGAAGGGCTGTGCGGCGCTAAGTTCATGACATTTGCTTCCCCAGTGATCGGCGCGGAAACATCCAATGCAGTGATAGTGGCTTATAATGACTTGCACTAAATACGCCAATTTTACGTGAAGCTTAAGGTGGGCCGTTAGCCGTTACTGCGAAAGGCTGTTTGTATCCCATTCTGCATGGGCATGGATCGGCGACTAGAACCCCGCAAAAATGAAAAAATCAAATCAAGTATCACAGATATGCCATGAGGGTATGGTATGGGATGGATGTGAGCGACAAGGTAGTTACATACGGTGTCATTGTGATCTGTGATCTTGGGGCGGGCAGGGGGAGGCAGGCAGATTAACAAAGCCCAGCCCAGCCCTGTCCTGTCCTTGTCCCTGCCCACCCCCCCCCCACACTATTCCACCACATACTAAACTGACGACGTTGGTTGGTTGCAGCGTGGATGCCCCGGGTAACGGCCAGCTGGCTGGGACTCTGGGAGCTGAAGAAAGTATTCTGTACGGGGGAAATGTGGAGTTTTCTGCAGATGGTCTCTTCTTGGCTTGGATTTTATATTTTCTTCAGCATGGGTTTCATGCATGCTGACGGTACGTACATATGACATGGAACTCAATTCTACTCTACGGAGTCGAATTAACCCGATCCATTTAGAGTTCAATTTTCCTTGGCGAGGGCGCAGCGGCGGTGGTTCATATTACATAATCATGAAAATTATCACGTGATGCACCAAACCTACCTATATTTCTGCGGCATCCAAGTTGCCACAACATGCAAACATTCATTCAACATCCCAGCTAACTGACCTGATTAACGCCTGATAACCATCAGAATTTCCCACACAAAGAAATCATGTCGTGGCGTAACCAAGGCATCACAGGATCTAACAACATCCCTCTCGGCAGCCGCCGCAAGTTTGGAGGTGATGAAGACACCAAAAGCGAGGACTCTACTGCAGTTTCGACGCCAGATGCTGGCTTTAAGCGCGGTCGGAGTCCTGTGCGAGGTGAGTTAAAAGTCATTATGCGCGCGCCACCCTCCCCTCCCCTCCCAATCAATGCATGCTCTACGTCTACGTGCTCTTCATGTGCAAAAACAACGTATAAACTAACTCGTCTCCGTGATTACCAGCTGACCCGCCCGTTGACGGCGTGAAGAAGCGCAAGAAGCGCAACCGATGGGGCGATGCAGAGGAAAACAAAGCTGCCGGCCTCATGGGCCTGCCCACCCTGATCATGGCAAATATGACAAATGAGCAGCTGGAGGCGTACACGCTGCACCTCCGCATCGAGGAGATCAGCCAGAAACTTAGGATCAACGATGTTGTGCCGGCGGATGGAGACAGGTGCGTTATATATATATACCTTTCGTGACTCGCGGAAGCTGGCTGTGTTTGTTGATCCGTTTCCTAACATGAATTTCGTTTTTGTTATGTATAGGTCCCCATCTCCCGCTCCGCAATACGATAACTTCGGTAGGCGTGTGAATACCAGGGAATACCGGTACCGGAAGCGCCTGGAAGACGAACGCCATAAACTCATTGAGAAGGCCATGAAAGTCATCCCTAACTATCATCCGCCGTCTGACTACAGGCGTCCGACTAAAACACAGGAGAAAGTCTATGTGCCCGTGAATGACTATCCAGAGATTAACTTCAGTATGATAACTAACCCTCTAACTCCTAACCATTCCGCTTTTTTTTTTTTTTTTTTTTCTTGCTTTTTCTTTATTATTAAAGAAAAAACGACTCGAGCCAGCTCTCGAGTCGTTTTGGTTTCTCTGTTTCTTTTCTCTTTTCTTGAGAGAATTCTTTGTTTTCTTTCTTCTGCCACTAACCCTCCTAACTACTAATGCACGCATTCATCACTTCTTTACTTCTTTTTTTTTGATGAAATCTTCAAAGACTAACACTTAGGCTACCACTCGCTCTTTTTTTTTTTTAATAAAGTTGGCTTACTTATCGGACCTCGTGGAAACACCCTAAAGAAAATGGAAACAGAATCTGGTGCCAAAATTGCCATTCGGGGCAAGGGCTCCGTCAAAGAGGGCAAAGGTCGATCTGACGCGGCTCACACTAGTAACCAGGAAGAAGATCTGCACTGTCTAATCATGGCAGATACCGAAGAAAAGGTTAACAAAGCGAAGAAGTTGATTCATAATGTTATCGAGACTGTACGTGTTTTCTTTCTGCTCTCTTTGGGCCTCTCGCCCTTGGTTTTTCTTTTCTTTTCTTTTCTTTTTTTTTTTTTTTTTTTGTTGGTCCTATTTCTTATATGCATATACTTACGGATTGGGGATGAAAATAGGCTGCATCAATTCCCGAAGGCCAAAATGAGCTCAAACGAAACCAGCTACGAGAGCTGGCGGCCCTTAACGGAACGCTCAGAGATGACGAGAACCAAGCTTGCCAGAACTGTAAGTAACTCATTTCCCCCAAGAAGAAATGACAACAGACATCTAACAATATAAAACTTAGGCGGTCAAATTGGTCATCGCAAATATGACTGTCCCGAGCAACGTAACTTCACCGCTAGCATTATTTGCCGTGTTTGCGGAAATGCTGGACACATGGCCAAAGATTGTCCGGACCGCCAGAGAGGGACTGATTGGCGTAATCATGGCCCTCCTGTGCAATCTGGCCGTCGTGGTGGCGGTGATGCCGTGGACCGTGAGATGGAGGTAAGTTCTGGCTCGATAAAGCCCTATTCTTCAATTTTCAATTTTCAATTTCCTCGTCAAAAAGAAAACTCGCTAACGCAAAAATGATGTTTTTATAGCAACTCATGCAAGAACTCGGCGGCGCACCGCCAAGCGATGACAAACCCCAGCGTCGCATCGAAGCTGGCCCTGGCGGCTATGAGCAAAATGACAATTACGCCGGTGGCGAACGTCCGCTGAAGCCATGGGAGCGCGGCCCAACCGGTGGACCTGCCCCATGGCAACGGCCAAGAGAAGAAAGGCCGCCTCGTGACGATTATCCCCCCCGCGAACACGGGGCGCCGCCCCCCTGGGCCGCTCGGCACGATCGTGGTGATCGCGGCGGCGGAGACCGTGGCGACAGAGAAGGTCGCGGCGGCGATGGTTATGGATATGGATCTCACAGCGGTGGCGGGTATGCCGGGGGACATGGCGGGGGACCCGGCGCACCGGGCGGACCACCTCCCTGGCAACAACAGCAGCAGCAGCCACGGCACCACGCACCAGCCCCAATTCCGCCTCCAGTTCCGGCAGCGGTCCCGGCAGCTCCAGTGGGACATGCAGGATACGGATACCCCGGTTACTCAGCTTTCCCGACTCCACAGCATATGGGAGCTCCTCCTGGCCTCAACGCGGTGCCGCCGCCACCACCAGGGATGGGAGCCATGTTCCCTGGCGGGTATGGTGCGGGTAGTCCGCCCCCACCTCCCCCGCCGGCCGACGGGCCACCACCACCAGTAAGTTTATTCCCGTTCTCCTTCTCGAAGTGAAATGTTTTAATTTTGAAGGGAGAATCGCTGACTTTGACCCTTTTTTGTGTTTAATAGCCTCCTAGCGACCAACCCCCTCCACCACCACCTGCGTAAATTTATTCCGTGGATCGATCAGATGAGACAGGATAAAAATTTGTATCGATGTGTTAAATTAAACTGTTTACTAACATTCCAAGGAAAAGGGTTTTTATTTTTATTTTTATTTTTTTTTTTATATCTTAACGCGAGTCCCCCAATTGAGGGTTTCTCGGGTGTTCTACTTTTTTAGTTTTACTAAAACAAAATTGTATCTTAGTTAATCACCAAGTCTCAGAAACACAGGCAGGTATTCTAAATATATATATACAATACTGACAGGAAAATATAATAAAAAGAAGAAGAAAAGGGAACAACAAGGAAGGAAAAGAACGAAAAGTTGGGCGTGTCAACTGTGAAGCTTTTTCCCCTTTCTGTCGTTCGACTGCGTTTACTAATTTCTGTCGACTGAAAAGCTGACCGTTTAGCTAACCTGTTTGCTGATGCGTGGCATCAGCCATTATTATTGTAGTATCTGTTAAGGATATTAACCAGCTAGCTAACTAACTGAGCATTACTCCCCTCCCTCAAAGAATGGCCGAAGAGTTTACATTCTATATATATATATACTCCGTACATACAATTTGAAATACAGACGATGGTTTCAAACCAGCTCTCGTATCATCATCAGCCTTTTCTCAAGTATGTATGTATTATGTACATGTACATGTACATGTATTGGATGGACGATCATCTATCTCTACATATTCAGCTGCACTGCTATGTAAGTTGCCGGAATCTTTGCAATGGCTCGATGGATATCAAGGCGCTGGCCAAGCGCCAAGCTGGTGGTGGGATGATGGATGGATCGATGGGTCTGGCTAGAACTGAGAGTCGAATAACAGAAGATGAATGCGTCTCTTGCAGTAAGATGCTCAGACGTGGTCTGGATGTGTGTGCTGCTGGTTTGTAACCGGGCCATATACGGAGCGTAGATAGTTACTTTAATTGCTCAGAGGAATTTGTAAGAAGTTTCCTGGGATCTGCTGCTCCGCTAACTATAATAACTAGTTAACGTTACCAATAATAAACTTCTAAGTTCTGCCTGTGCAAAAAAAATTAAAAAATAAAAAAAAATATGTGCAATACATACATTTATTTAGCCCGATCAATCACACCCAGCTGCGATAAGACACGCAGTAATCTGATAAATAGAGAGAGACTGGAGAGAAGGCATCTCAGTCTTTTTTATTATCAAACCTCATTAATTCTGAACAAAAAACAAACATATTAATATAAATTGGAATTCCTCTCTTTCATGCATTCGCCAGAGGGGAAACATCCCCCAGAATGAAGGAAGACTCATTCTCCCCACCCACAGCGCCTAATTTCCAATTTCCAATTTCCACTTATCATCTTCATCATCTCCATCATCCTATCCAGCAGCCCCCGCCGCGCTTCCAGCAATAAAGGCCGTGGAAGAGCCCCAAACATCTCCTCTCTCCATTCCGCGAAGTGACATCCCCACCGCCCAACTATGGCAACGGATGTATCACACGCAACGACCGCGGTAGTGACAGAGGAATCTAAGCCGGCCCGGACGCGCCCAGGTCCTTCGAGCTCGACGGCGACGACGACGAGAAGGACCTCCCGCGCCATAGAGAAGTGGTGGCACGTTCATTTTTTCCGGGGCATGATTGGCGATGTCAAGAGGCGGGCGCCGTACTATGCGAGCGACTGGAAGGATGCGTGGGATTACCGTGTGGTGCCGGCGACGGTGTATATGTATTTTGCAAAGTATGGCCCAGAGAATATGAATTTTCTTTCTTTTTTCTTTTGGCTTCTTCCTTTGCCTGATGATTTCTGTTCCGCATTTTCCTGCTCTTTCTTCCCTCCTTGTCATTCCCTGCCTTCTACTTTTGCCCTGCCATCATGTGTTTTCAATTCGAAACTCCTCGAAGGAAAAAGGGGGGAATGAAGAAGGAATCATGGCTATTCGTTGCCCATGATATTGCCGAACTGTCCAGTGAGAGGGACAAACAACAATGAGAAGAAAATGGAGAAAATGGAGCAGTGCGCCCAAATGCAGAGCTTCTAAACAGCCTCCACAGATACACACGATGTTGGTAACGATAGGAATACTTACTGTACCTGCAGCATCTTGCCCGCTCTTGCATTTTCCTTGGACATGTTCGAACAAACAGACATGAGCTACGGAGTCAACGAGGTGTTGTTGGCCTCGGTGCTGGGTGCAGTCGTCTTCGCTTTGCTTGCAGGCCAGCCCTTGGTTATTGTTGGAGTGACAGGTTAGTAGTACTGTACCTATTGACATCGTCATCGCTTGGTATAGGGAGTTATCCAGGGGGAGTGGGTGTGTGCGTGTTGCTAACATACCAGTTCACAGGCCCAATCACCGTCTTTAACTATACCGTTTATGATATCATGTCCCCAACAGGCACCAACTACCTGGGCTTCATGTGCTGGATTGGAATGTGAGTGAACAAACCTACACGGGGATCTAATGCATTATGGCATGGACTCTGGCGTCGTGCATGGAAAAGATACAACAGATATTATTAACACGGTTCCAGATGGGCAATGATAATGCATTGGATCCTTGCAATTACCAACTCCTGCAACGCTCTGACATATGTCACCCGTTTCTCCTGTGACATTTTCGGATTCTACGTCGCATTCATCTACCTGCAGAAGGGGATCCAGGTCCTCACGCGCCAGTGGCGCAAATCCGGCGAAGCCTCAGCCTACCTTTCCATCATGGTCTCTCTTCTTGTGCTCATGTGCGCCTACATCTGTGGCGCGGTCGGGGAAAGCAATTTCTTCCAGCGATATATCCGAAAATTCATCGAGGACTACGGTACACCGCTCACGATTGTGTTCTTCACGGGATTTGTACACATAGGCCATATGAAAAACGTACCCATTGAAACGCTGCCCACCACCAAGGCTTTCTTCCCGACTCTCGACCGCAGCTGGCTTGTTAATTTCTGGGATATGGACGTCGGGGACATATTCCTTGCAATACCTTTCGCCGTGCTGTTGACAATCCTTTTTTACTTTGATCATAATGGTTTTTAATCATACCCTTTTTTTTTTTTCTTTTTTTTTTTTTCTCCCTTCTCACAGCCGATACTAATCTATAAGATAGTCTCATCCCTGATAGCTCAGGGAACGGAGTTTCCGCTCCGAAAACCCGCTGGATTCCACTGGGATATCTTCCTCCTCGGTTTAACGACTGGCGTGGCCGGAATCCTTGGCATCCCTTTCCCCAACGGCTTGATCCCCCAGGCACCCTTCCACACCGCTGCGCTGTGCGTAACCCGCCAGGTCGCCGACGAAGACGAAACGAATAAGGGCAAAACCGTGCGCGTCATCGACCACGTCGTCGAGCAGCGATTCAGCAACCTGGCACAGGGTCTGCTGACGCTGGGTACCATGAGCGGGCCGCTCCTCGTCGTCCTTCATCTCATCCCGCAGGGAGTAATGGCGGGCCTCTTCTTCATCATGGGCGTCCAAGCCCTTCTCGGCAACGGCGTGACGCAGAAGCTAAAATTCCTCGCCCAGGACAGGAAATTCACCCCAGCATCCGACCCGCTCAAGCGCGTTGAGCGGAAACTGGCCATCTGGGCGTTCGTGGGGATTGAGCTTGTCGGCTTCGGCGCAACCTTCGCCATCACGCAGACGATCGCCGCCATCGGGTTCCCCGTGTTCATCCTCATCCTCATCCCCGTCCGGACATTCTTGCTTCCCCGCTGGTTTACGCAGGCGGAACTCGCTGCCCTCGATGCGCCCACGGCCAGCCCCTTTACCATGGAGAATGTGGGTGGAACGCACGGGTATGGAGACAGTGATGTAACGGTTACTCCTGCGTCCGAGCAGGGTGGTGGCTTGTTCAAGTCTTCGGATTCTACGGTTGAGGATGAGCTTGAGAGGGGGGAGTCGTATGCGCTGCAGGCCAGGTCTGCCATGCGCCGGGGCGAGTCGAGGTGAGAATTAGTGTGTTGTGCTGTGTTTTTTTCCCCTTTCGATGTGCGTAACTACATATATTTTCGTTTGTTATCAGCGGCCTCTACTGTGGATGATGGATGTTGCATGCAGATGGCTATGCTACACTAGATGTATACCACCGGGTTGGGTAACTTGAATTTTTAACATGCCGCGTGCCGCGCGAAGGGCTGGCGGGGAAAGACGGGGGTTTATCTTTGTGCGATGGAAATTAGGCCTGATTTCTTCTCTCTTTTGTGAGATAACGATTTGTGGCCAAGGAAAGAGATGATTTAATTTTGCAGATAGAGCGTGGGATGGATACATTGATGGCGTCACTTTTCTTTTCCTTTTAGTCCCTTTACTTCCGGCCGTTTGTTTGTTTGTTTTTTCTTTTTTTCTTTTTTTCTTGAAGAGTTTGCTCTTGGGTTACATTACTGCGGGCTCTAGTTCTAGGAATATTCACGCTCTCTTTTCTTTCAGCTCTTGATGGTTTGTTTTCTTGCTTGCTTTCCCTTTTTCCCCACTTTCCTAGCTTTCTCATGGCCGCTAGCATAGTGTTTGCGTGACTCCGAGCAAGGGGGGCTCTGCAACTTCCGTAGGTTTGGTAGTATGTTAGTAGTCACCGCTTTGGAAATTAGATTTTTCTTTTTCAGACTAATTTTAAATTTTCCCTTTATTTTACTTTATTGTATTTTTTTGAAATAGTTTAGGCAAAGATACCGTGGCGGGCTGTGGCTCAAAGCAGATACACTTCATTATTCTGTGCCGAATGATTTGCATGCAATGCATGGGCTGGATGCCAAGAGTCTGGGGAACATCTTCAGGGCTTCGTGATCACGTGGATTGATCGCCTTCACCGCCTTTATCGGAAATCGGCAGAATATTTTTCAGGCTCTTAGGAAAATATTTCGATAGTAACTAGTATCATTAAGCAAGATGGCTCCTTCAAAACATATAGAAACCGAATTGGAATCGGAGCCAGAACAATACCATTCCCCTACTGCGGATGATTCATCTAGCGAAGACAATGGAGTCGAAATACCAGAGCTAGCCCGCCCGTCCAAAAGGCGTCGAGTATCATCATCATCATCCTCATCAAGCTCCTCCCCAGAAGCAGCGAAACCACCACCACCAGCAACACAACAACCCCTCTTCCCAACCATCTCCCGAATAAAAAAGAAACCCACAGAGCCCGGCAACAACACCACCGGAAGAAATAATGGGAACACCATCATAACCGCAGACCCCATAACCGCCAAAGATGCCCTAGCAGCCGCAGCACCATCGGATGGCTCGTCGTCATTTGCCTCCCTCGGCCTTGCGCCATGGCTTGTAGGCTCGTTGTCGGTAATGGCTATTAAACGGCCGACAGCGATTCAGAAAGCGTGTATACCGGAGATTATAAAGGGGCGCGATTGCATTGGTGGGAGTAGGACGGGTTCGGGGAAGACGGTTGCGTTTGCGGCGCCGATTTTGCAGAAGTGGGCGGAGGATCCGTTTGGGGTTTTTGCGGTGATATTGACGCCGACGAGGTACGTGCGGAGTTGAGTTATTCAAAAAGGGGGGGATAAGTTCTAAAACGGTAGATTTGGTGCAGTTTGGTTGATGAGAGTCTGGGGAGACATACCGTTTTTATCATTTTATTTATTTATTTATTCATTATCTAATATATAAGGGTTTGCTAACTTAATTTTATAAATATAGGGAATTGGCTCTGCAGATATTTGAGCAAATCAAAGCTATTTCTGCGCCGCAATCTCTGAAGCCTATTCTCATTACTGGTGGAACCGAAATGCGGCCGCAGGCTATTGCTCTCTCACAACGCCCTCACATAGTCATTGCCACACCTGGTCGTCTTGCGGATCATATAACCAGCTCCGGAGCAGATACGATCTGCGGCCTCAACCGCACACGCGTCGTCGTTCTCGATGAAGCCGACCGGCTTCTAGCATCTGGACCCGGAAGCATGCTGCCGGACGTGGAAACCTGTCTCTCCGCGCTCCCCCCTTCGACAAGTCGCCAAACACTCCTCTTCACAGCCACAGTCACCCCGGAGGTTCGAGCGCTGAAATCCATGCCTCGCCCCGCGAACAAGCCTCCGATCTTCGTCACTGAAATCTCTACAGAAAACCAAGCTACCATCCCGCCCACGCTCAAGCAGACATATCTCCAAGTGCCCCTGACCCATCGCGAAGCGTTTCTCCACACCCTCCTATCGACGGAAGCCAACGCGCCAAAACCCTCTATTATCTTCTGCAATCGAACGAAGACGGCAGATCTCCTTGAACGTATGCTGCGGCGCCTTGGTCATAGGGTCACGTCGCTACACAGTCTTCTCCCGCAGTCGGAACGTACTGCGAATCTGTCGCGTTTCCGTGCCTCTGCAGCCCGTATATTAGTCGCGACTGATGTCGCTGCTCGTGGCCTGGATATCCCCAGCGTAAGCCTGGTGATAAACTTTGATGTGCCCCGCAATCCGGATGATTATGTCCATCGTGTTGGTCGGACGGCTAGAGCTGGGCGGGAGGGTGAAGCGGTTACGCTGGTGGGTCAACGTGATGTGCAGCTAGTTTTGGCTATTGAAGATCGTGTCGGGAAGAAAATGATCGAGTGGAAGGAGGAGGGAGTTAGCATCGAGGGTCGCGTTGTGCGTGGTGGAATTATAAAGGAGGTGGGAGAAGCGAAGCGGGAGGCTATGGGTGAGGTCGAGGAAGGGAGGGATGTGCTTGGACGTAGGGTGAGGAAGTTAAAGAAAATCCGCCAGAACTGATAAATCTTTGTCTCTTTTTCTCTTTTCTTTTTCTTTTTCTTATTCTTCTTCCATATATGTCTCATTCGTCAATTTTATCGTGTTCAGTTTCCCCTCCCGGTTGTTCATCAAGCTGCCCCCAGGAAACATAGAGGCCCCTTAGTAGTCGTAGTACCACTTTGGGGCCCGACGGATCCTTTTTGGCCGGCGTTCTGTCTCCGCCTGCATTGGAGTTGAAGTCTCTTTCCGTTTTATTTTCCGGCTCGTCGGCGCCTTTGCCTCAGCTCCCTCCTCCAGAACCATATCCTGAGTTTGGCTCCGGGCCTGAACCTCTGGCGCGGAAGAAGCGACTACCTGTTCACCACGAACAGCCTGAGATGTGATACCGGCTGGCGCAGCGTCAGGAATGTTCTTTCTACTTCTCGTTATCCTGTCTGGTTGCATCCTGGGATATTCTCCGGGCGTGGCTGCTATGTGATGCCACCGAGAAGCTCTGCCGCTCTCGATTGCTGCTGGGAGAACCGTTTCTTGAGCGTGGGGCTCCTCTCCCTTGTTTTCCGGTAAATTGAACTCTTTTTGTTGATTTGGAAAGATGTCCATCTCCAATACCACTCCTTCTGGGAGCCCCCGCCCGGCTGAGCGACTCCTAAGCACTCTTCTTGACTCTCCCTCATCGCCCTGGACGTTGAGAAGAGCATGATTATCGTCTAGAAACTCCCCATAATCACCTTCTGGAGCCACAGATTCGGTACCACCACATTTTGAAGGCGACTCCGTTGCCTGTTGATCCGGTTCGGGAGCAATGTTGGCCCTCGGCGCAAGTCCACCCTCATTAGTGGATGGTTCTTGTGGTTGCCTCCATTGGTTCGCTCGTGGCTCATCCTCCACTGTCTCACGATTTATGGCCTCACTTCCTCTCGTGGTTATCTCCAAAAGCAACGTGGTTGTGGTTTTGAGTGCGCATTTCCTTTGTGTAACTGGCTCTGCTTTAGCAGCTCTCTCTCCTGGTTTCGGGACAGGGTTAGCTCCTAATGCCACGTCTCTTCTCCACCGGTGAATCTCCGGGCTAGATACCGAAACATCGTCGGATCTCTGCCTCTTGACCACCGCTGGTTCCTTTGGTCTCGCGCTACTTTGCTCCCCGCGTGAACATTTATCGCTTGGACCTTCTTCGGGTGCGGAGATGACATCGTAAGGACAATATTTAGGGGAACCTGAGTCTGCTCCCGCAGTGCTTTCCCCATTGTCCATTGGCAGCACCTGTATGCCGTGGCTATCTCTTAACCCTTCTGCACCTGTTATAGGAATGTCTCCCGTAATTTTATCACCTTCCGAGGCTTTGACCTCCCCTTTACTACTACCGGACCCTGGGCGCCGTTTCATCTTCAACCACCCCGATTTATCCATCCACCTCCCCGTTTCCACGCCCCATGAGAATCGAGTGCCAGAATTATCATCTTTTCGTTCGGGGTTCCCCACAGCTTCGTACCGACGATAGATGGCGCGCCTGGTGCCCGCAAAAGACAGAAAAGAAAAAGCATCATTAGATCTTTCTTCCTCGGAGTAGACGGGTAAATCTCAGGGAATAAAAAATTGGGCGTCCACAAGGAACAAATCTCACAGTGGCTTTTCTCCTTTCCAACCCAATTGTTCACGCCAAAAATCTGTGCCCTGACCTCTCCCTTCATAATCACCGGAAAACAATATCTTACATCCTTCTGCCCACCGACAGCGCATGACTAATAAAATGGTCAGCTTTACTTCGTGCTTGGGAGCAAGAACGAATAAAAATCAAGTTCAAATCAATTGTGATGGCACTCACCTTCCTTCGACTCAACGGTTCTGAATATCCCCCCGGCATTCGCCTCTGATTCTGTGCATATACCCACCTGGGCTGTTCTTTCCGTCGCCTTCTGTCCCCTCCTAGTTACAGGCGGCATTTGCCCGATCCTGTTGGATAAGTTTCTGTATAGAATTGCCGTGATGAGATTCCGTTCCCCACGCCTCTCTTTTCTCGGCCCTATGGAGGTATTTATTTATATCTGAAACTATCCGGAGGGCCTTACTTAAACGGCCTCTTTCACCACCTCGATGCCCTGTTTCAAGCAGTGGAGATATCGAAGAAGGGGCAACAACGGCGAGTTAAAACTGGTATTAAGTTAGTATGGTTGAGAATGGTGTTTTTGGTGTTTTTGGTGCTTTCCTTTTTGCCTCTATTGTTTAACAATGGCGAGAAAGAACCTGGAGAATTTCCTAGAATGACATGACCCAGGGAGGGGATCTATCCGGGAATCTCCAGTTCTCTTTTACTTTTTCATTTTGGCTTTGATGGGGCTTAAGCTGCATGCGTGTGGTAACACTCGGTAGCTTGCTCTCCTGCACAACGCCGGAATTGCAAACCCCGAGTAGAATATAGATTCAATATAGTGAAATGAAACACAGCGCAAAAGAATGTGTGTGGCCTGTTGTGTTTAAAGGTTCATCATAATCTACCATATACCCTGGAGCTGCCTTTCTTGCTTGTTCCTCTTGTTTCAGTAATAATGGCCATTGTTTGAAGTCTCATTCTTCTCGTCTTTATTTCTTTATTTCCCCTCGGTTTCGTGGGCTCGGGAGATTCATTTCTCTTGTAGTCTATTTTAATTATTTAGCCTAAGCTAACTATAATTTGGTCGCCCAATATCATCAGTAGATTTTAGATCTCAGACCTTCAGCTACATAGTTACATACTTTTACCTACTCAACCTAGAGCAAGCTCCTGTAAAGAACAAGAAATGAGAAAGGAAACAAAGAAAGTCAAGTTTCCACCGTTAAGACTCTGCCCACCCATGCAAACCCACCCTTCTCCAAAAAGCACCAGTAAACGAACCACAGCCAAAAATTTAATATCACACCTGAAAAGTCTCCGGGAACATGCCGTAGCGATGCCATATTTTAACCAATGCATGACTCCTACAGGACCTAGATTACCTATGGAATCAAGACATTATGCGCTCAGGAAATACCACACTCAGATCTACCGTGAAGAAGTATCTGCTCTGCCGGACAACTCCGCATATACAGTTATCACGTATCTTTTCGGAACTATGCCCGCGCGGGGCCCGGAAACCTGGCAACCACCCCCCCCCCCCCCCAGCGGGACGAAGATGACCTTGCTAATGCCGAATTCAACAGCAGACACATACGGGGATCTGGGATGGCTACGACTTTGCCTACGAGCTGGTCACTGTCTACGGAGCTCGAGCGGCTAATAACCTACAGGAGGTGGAGGATGAACATGGCTTCAAATCGGCGCTGAAGGTGCCGTATTTTACTTGTTTAGGTCGAACAAAAAATCTGGCAAGGAATTCAATGCGTGGCTTGCATTTGGTTATTAACTAATATTAATGCAGTTGATGGCTTAAGATAAGGTAGGAGGCGCTGAGATGGGTCTGATGCACGCTATTTGCCATAATAGCGTTGAAGGTTATTTATTTCCACGGTGGGGACCAGCAACAGCTGTGCGAGGGGTCCCTTTCGCGCCCGCTTGCCTGCTCTCCTGGGCACCACCAACACCCGTCTTTGCCCTGGCTTTCTGATCGGCCTTATTGGCCTTCCTAGCAGCTGCGGCGGCCGCTCTTGCAGCCCTTGCAGCCCACTGTTGTTCCACATAGACCTCCCTCCGCCTCTCAAGCAGATACTCATAAATATCCGCCTCGTACTCTGCACACTCGGCCTTAAACGCCTTATACGCCCCAAAATTGCGCAAGCGGCGCTCAAACAACGCATCTCCAATACTGCGAATAACCAGCATGCGCACCGGCGCCGACTTGGGGAAATTCGCATACACCATCCGCACATCGTCGATGTAGATCTGCTTATCCGCCATTCGATTCATGCGCACCCACATGTCATTCTGGACGGCGTAGACGTCCAGGATCTCTGCCGCTTCGAGGATGCGGGTGTACTTGGCGAAGGGGAGCCGGTCGATTTTGGCGTACCCATGCCGCGCGCCCTTGCAGCAGGCCAGCATCCATCTAAAAACCACGAGATGGGCCTGTGCGACGCCGCCGTATATGGTTACGGCATTAGTGCCGTTGCAGCCTTTGCGGGCTACAGTGGGCTCGTGTTTAGCGGGGAAGCAGTCTTTGATATAATAAGAGAAGTGGGTGGCTAGCCACAGGGGATATGTGTCGTAGATGGGTTGGGGAGTTGCATCCTGAGTGCTGGCGTGGAGGATGCGGATTTTAGGTCCTCCTAGGAGACTGGACATGGTTAATTAATGGATGGTTGATCGAGAATAAGCAACGGGAATACCGTGAGGCAATAGATAATTATATCATATGCGGCTTGTTCATGTAGGATTTACTTACTAGCTCATGCCAGGGGTTAGATAGACGGGAACCATTTTGAATATGGATTCTCCGTTCAAACGAGGTCTTAGAATTCGGCAGGCGGGACAAATGTATATGATATATTTATCCTCAATAAACTGGACCCTAGAACCAAAGGCTCAGATAACTAGGAGGACTATAGCAATAGGGTAATTTGATGCTGGATCTCAGTTGACAAACAGGTGTAACCGATGTCCTCCTGGAAGTGAGTCCGGCCTGGCATTTGACGTAGCAAGAAGACAAAAAAATAGATATGTCGTAGTTGGAAGAAGGGGAAAATGAACGAAGAATAATATACTGAATGCCAGTATATATATGAATAGCGCAAGCCCCATATGTCGCTTGCTATAGTTATAGATCAGTAGTGAAGTGCGATATAAAGGAATACTTCTCACATCTTTGGAGGGTGCCACCGGTGCCCATTTATTTCATTTTCGGTCATACTAGAGCTTTGCCAAAGTATAGAAGCTCGATTCTCTCAAGCCAGCAACATGATATTCACGATGGTTAAAGCTATATATAAACCATGATGAGTGAGATAGAACTGAATGATGAATGGATAGAGCAAGGTGTGCAGCTATCCTGAGGGAATGGAGCAGCATCGTCAAACAATAAGTTGTGTTTGCTCCACTAGAAGCAAATCAAACCTCAACGAGGGAATCAAGAGAGGCAAAATGAAAGGTGTGAAATAGCCTGTATGTGTACTTGATATGGCATCATCCCGGCCTACTTAATAGCCTTAGAGAGCGATCGCGGTGTTGTATATTTAAGATCACGACGATGATGAGGATGAGCGTGACAAAGTTCCGTCATGTGACCATTTCAGGGGTTCCAAGCTCGCTTCAGGGGCAAACAAACCTTGAGGTCGAGAAATGATATATGAAACAGTGCAGGATGGAATCGGTATTGTCAAAATATATTATTAAAGTCGTTTCTCTTTCTAGTTACTTAGAAAACGAAAATTCTGCTTCTTCTTTATCCTTTATCCGGGTATTCTGCCCCCAAACCGACCAATTCGCAACGTATCCAGCAAACAAAACAAAAAACATTTCTCCTCAGATTCAAAATCCTGCGTGGGGAATCTCATAATAATCTTCAACTTCATGCAAACTAACCCTCCATCTCCGCCCATTTCTCACCTAAACAGTGGCCTGTCATATCGTACACAAGAATGAAAAGAAAAGAAGTACAAAAAGAAATCACATAGGGAATTAGAAACGAAAACCAGAAACATATCCACATCCATTCCTACTCAACGAGGGACTAAAGGGAAAAGAAAAAGAAAACGTTTCTCGACCACCTCTTTTCATGCAAAAAATTTTGAACATCATGATCGATGAATGAGCTAACCTTGGTCTAAAAGCTATGATTTTTATCACCCGGTCCACTCGTCCAGATTATCGAACTCAGTAGTAGTCTTCATCAGCTTCAGAAGTCCATCAAGTGCTTCTCCCTTCTTGGCCTTGGCAATCATCTGGTCCACAGAGCACATTTTCGCGTTTCGCTCGATGACAATGGGCGAGTTTCCAGTGTGTGGTGGGCTGCAGGGCTGCATTGGCGAGGTGGGGATTTCTACAGGGTAGTTGTTCCCATTTCCGTTGCCGTTGTTATCGCTGCTGGTGGCTTTGCCGCTGTTGACATCACGTATGCCTCCGGTCTGCGTTGGGGTCAACTCATTTTCCATGTACCCGCGTGCGTGTGTGTGAGTGTGCCCGTAGCGGTTCATCTCTATCTCCATCTGTCTCTCCAGCTCAGACTTCCCAGGAAAGTTTTCTCCCGCGGTTGAACCAGGGGGTGAGAACAGCATAGTATTAGGCGCGTAGCGAGCTGAGTAGCTCGTCGGTTGCAAGATGGGGGGAGGGAGGAGTCTGGGCATTTTGGCTCTTGGAGTCAAGTCTTCGTCCCCATCACCTGCGTATCTGTGTTTGCTGGCTGGCCGTGGGAGGGGTCGCAGCGGAGGAGGGGGGTAAGGACGATCACGGCTGTTGGCTTGTTCCTCGAGCGCTGACAGTCGACGATCGATCTCTTTACGTTTGGGCTCTTTGATGTTCTTCATGGCTGCTTGGACGCGGCTGCGGAGGAGGTTTGCTTTCTGTGCGAGCGTTAGTAAAAACAATCTGTTGCATGCTGTGACAGCTAGACAGTTTTGGTTTTTTTTCTTTCTTGTTCAAGGCTTGCTAACCTGTTGGATGAATGCTTTTCTCTTAGCAGGGTCCGTTGGCACGATCGAAGCTGGTGCTGCTTCTGCTACTTTCGCAGTCGTTGTTTGTGTGGGACTTTTTGAGGAGGAAAGGGGGGCATTAGGCGAAGACGTGTTGCTCCCAGATTCAAAGCTGAGATTGAGGAGAGATGACATGGTGTCACTCTGCTGTGAGGATGTGTTCTTGAGACCCTTGTTGTCATCAAAAGCGGGTGCGGGTTGAAGAAAGGAAGAGGAGATGATCTGTGAGAAGAGTCTTAGTGTATAGTCCTGTTTCTTCTCATTCTCTCACTCATGTCATGTGTTGCTTCTTTTTGTTTATTATTTTTCCTGGGCACATAATAACACATACTTGTTTATCTGCTTCTGTACTAGACTGTGTGTTATTCTCTTCATAGATGTAGAACTCCTCCTCCCGCCGGGCCTGGCTAAATGAACTCTTTGTCGAGCTGGATCTGTTCTGAGCGGAGTCCACCTGGTCAATTGACCTTTTCTGGCCCGCTAGTACTGAGGGAGACATCGAAGATATGCTCGACTTGCTCGTGGTATGAGAATGTGAAGGGATTAGAGACGCGTTGGTTGATTTCTCAACCAAAACGCGTCTTTCAGATTTCATGGGACTCGACGGTGGCATTATGAGTGTATATGATATAAACGAATCGACTGCGAAGGCTACGGGTAAGAAATACGGACGTGGAGGGCAAGTCGTGAGTTTGTGGGAGGGGAGGGTCTATATGGGATTTCGACTATAACAGAGGTATATTATTAAAGTTCAGTTGACACTCCGCAGACGGAGAGGGAAACGAGGGAAATTGGAGGAAGAAAAGAAGTCGAAAACACACTGCGATGGGCCTTCTATAACCAATTGAACCTGAAAAATGTGCAAGGGGAGAAAGACACACAATTGCAGGAGAAAGAAGTGCGGGCACCATCGCGTGTTGAGAAATGGGCTATCTCCGCTAGTTAACTATGGATGCGCGCTTGGGATTAGTTAACTATCTCACTAGCATTGCACAACTTCACGACTTGTTTTGGCGCGTGGGAATTTCGGCGCCGGAAAAACCTGACACACTGCGCGTTGCTGGCGTGGATACAATTCTTATTGTTATTACGGAGTATTATTATTATTATTATTGTTGTTGTTCTTCTTGTTGTTGCATGATAGGAAAATAGAAAATAGAGCCTGATGAAAGAGAATCAGCTTGCTATTTAACTAAGTTAACTACTGCACAATGGTAAGCAAATGTTGGTAGGGTATTAATATGGTAAGTTATTATGAATCCTTTCACTTCTACTCCGTATAGAGTAGGGAAAAGTTCAATATCATAAAATAGAAGGGCAGTTCTTTGAGACGAGATGCGTCTAAAGTAGAAGTAGAAGTAGCTCTACTCCGTACTCCGTAGCTAATAATAATAATATTAAATAATAATGATGAAATGGATTGTCGTGGTTGGCAATTTGCGGGTGTTGGTTGATTGCCCCGCTAAAACTAGATTCTACACCCCTCCTCCCTCCCTCATCTGGATTGAGGCGCCGTATTTGTCCAAATAGACCACCACCAACCCAGTCATATTGGTGGCATTGACTCACAGACACCACCTGGTGCGCATTCTCTTTTCCACCAGCCTGGGGACATATATTTACCGGGGAAATATCAACCACATCCGTCAGCTCCGCTTGCCCAAGCTCAGCCTGCCGCCAATACCCCTCCCTCCATTCCACACAGACCTTGACAGGATAGTAAAAATACTGACGCCCTCACGACTATGTCTCAACTCACCGTTGCAGCTAAGGCAAACAATGCCTTCCTTCTTCCAACACTCCTCGCTATCAACTATGTCAAGCAGATCCTCCCAGGCACTGACATCACCGTGGGATTCGAGGATGCCGAAGCCATCGGATCCCAGGGTGCAAAGCTGGAGCTCAAGACAGACGATGGGAATACAATTTACGACGATGATATCCTAACACATCTGGAGAATATCTATGAACCTCTGCAGACTGGGAACAAGGAGCAGGTTTGTGCAATTACAGCTACACAAAAATTTCGTCCTCCTACTACTCAACATTGCTAACCGCAAAGTATTTTTTTAAAAACGAAATTTAGGTTGATGAGTGGCTGAAGCGATCAACTACTTTGAGGCCATTGGATTTCAAAGCATTGGACCAGCCCTTGAAGGAGCTCGATTCCCATCTTACCCTGCGATCGTACATTGTTGGCTATTCTCTTACCCTGGCAGACCTTGCCGTGTGGGGAACGCTTCGTGGAAATAGAATTGCTATATCAGGCATTAGAAAGGCCGCAACACAAACCAGCCGCTGGTTTTCATTTATCGAAACTGCCTACCCTTGGGTGACTATCGCCGTGGCTGAGTTGAGTGCCAGTGCCCAGAAAAGAAAGGCTGCTGCAAGTGCCGCTGGTGCAAGCTACAACATTGGCTTGCCGAATGTGGAGAACGGAGTGGTGACCCGGTTCCCGCCAGAGCCATCTGGATACCTACATATCGGACATGCCAAAGCAGCGCTTTTGAACGATTATTTCGCCCATGAACAAAACAAGGGCACCCTGATTTGCCGATTCGATGATACCAATCCTTCCAAGGAAAATCAGGAGTTTGAAGATGCGATCAAGCATGATTTGTCCCTGTTGGGTATTTATCCGGACAAAACCTCTTTCTCCAGTGATTATTTCCAAGAAATGTACGAGTACTGCATCAAAATCATCAGCGACGGCAAAGCCTACGCTGATGATACTGAGAAAGAGGTGATGCAGGATGAGCGGTTTAACGGCATTGAGAGCAAGCGCCGTAACGAAAGCGTGGAGGACAACCTGGCACGGTTCGCTGAGATGAAAACCGGCTCAGTGGAAGGTCAGCGCTGGTGTATCCGTGCAAAGATCTCGGTTGACGACTTGAACAAAGCGCTCAGAGACCCGGTCATCTACCGCTGCAACATGGAGCCGCACCATCGGACTGGCAGCACATGGAAAATCTATCCGACATACGATTTCTGTGTGCCTATCCTGGACTCCTTGGAGGGCGTGACCCACGCACTGCGGACTACTGAGTATGGTGATCGAAACGCACAATATGCCTGGATGCAGGAGGCTCTTGGCATTCGCAAAGTCCATATCTGGGACTTCTCGCGCGTAAACTTCATTCGTGCGGTGCTGTCGAAGAGAAAGCTGACGAAGTTGGTCGACGAGGGAGTTGTCTGGGGTTGGGACGATCCGCGCATGCCTACGATCCGGGGTATCAGACGACGGGGCATGACCGTACCAGCCCTGCGCGAATTTATCCTCAAGCAAGGCCCAAGCCGAAACGTCGTGAACCTTGACTGGACTCTTTTCTGGGCGACTAACCGCAAGTATATCGATCCTGTGGCCCCACGCCATACCGCCGTTGACAAGCAGGACATTGTCCCGGCTACCGTCAGCGGGGCTGATGGTGTGCAAACCGCCGATAAACCAAAGCACGGCAAGAATGCCGAGCTGGGCACCAAGAAGGTAATCTACAGCCCTAAAATCATCCTCGACCAGGCCGACGCCGCCTCGTTCAAACCAGACGAAGAGATCACCCTGATGAACTGGGGCAACGCGATCGTGCGCAAGATCAACAGCGACGCGGCCACGGGCAAGATCACCAGCCTCGAGCTAGAACTGCATCTGGCCGGCGACGTCAAGAAGACGGATAAGAAGGTTACGTGGCTGGCACAGGAGGGCCAGGACCTCGTCCCCGTCGAGCTGGTGGACTTTGACTATCTCATCACCAAGGACAAGATTGAGAAGGATGAGGACATCCATGACTTCTTGACGCCGCAGACGGAGTTCCGGTCTGAAGCGTTTGCGGATTGCAATGTAGCGGGGTTGGCGGAGGGGGGTATTATTCAGTTTGAGCGGAAGGGATATTTCAGGCTGGATCGGCCGTATAAGGATGGGAAGCCTGCTGTTTTCTTTAACATCCCCACTGGCAAGACAGGATAGTGTTCTTGCTCGATTGGCAAGGGGCACGGGACCCTGCGGAAATGACAAGGAAATGAAACAAGGTCGATAGCTTTTTTGGGTGTTATTTAATCAATGTTACATCTGACAGAGAATAAAATAAAGACAATAGGCAAAAGCAATGTGAATATTGATAATAATGAGAAAAATATAATTCATTCCTTTCTTACCCAACCCAACCCATCATGTTCACAACGGTTTATTTTTCCCGGGCTATCATATCTCCAGGCACAACCCCATGCGTTTCTTGCTTTTATATATGTATCCCATGATCGACGATCCGACGACTGCAAGGCAGTTAGTTGTCCGATCAATCTTTTTTGTTTTCTTTTCTTTTCTTTTCTTTTCTTTACTTTTTCTTTTTCCTTTTCTGTTTCCCGCAGAATCTCCAGTGCCCACTCACCACCACATTGTTTGCCTCTCAGGGTAGTTTAGACGGGGGCTCAACTGTGAACATTCAAAAGTACGAAAATTTTTCGTTTACTCCAGATGAGGCCCTTCATGTATCGTCATTATGACACCCAGCCCGTGCCCCCAGGTAGGTAGAGTGCATATATTGATTTTTAATCTTTTATTTTTTATTTTTTATTTTTTGTTTCCTGCTTTTTCCTTCGCATTTATTCTCGAGAAGATCTATCTATCTATCTATGTACAGTACTGTACATCCCGGAGCAGCCTCGCATGTTTCAAATAATGTCTTGCATCTGACGACCCGAGTCGCATCTTAAAGATGAGCATGGGCGAGGTGTTTTTGTCGGGTGACTGAAATGAAAACCTCACAAGGCCTCACCAGAAAGGAATTGGTCATCGCAATGGTGGGGAGAGGAGAGAGAGGCTGAGGCTTGGGGATAGTTATTGGTTATATAGCTATTATTAGATTTGGCCGAGCTGCTGGATGGAAGATACATTGCAGCGATGACATTGTACGGAGTACTGTATATTTAAGTCAACAATGCAAGGGCCAAGGTCTACCTGTAGATTTGTCAAGCGTTAGACGGAGTAGCGATAACCTATCGAAGTGTGTGTGTTAGAGGTTGTACGGCGTGAGAGATATGCAGGGCCAGGCGTGGGTTTTTTTTTTTTTTTTTTTTGTCCCTTCTTTGGGTCGAATAAACAAAATTGAACTTTGAAGATGGGCTTTCTTTTCTCGTTCGTTTTATTCTATCTCCCATCCACGCGCGGTACTTGATCAGTGATGGGGCGGGGAGACTGTATACAGTAGATAGTGGGGAAGGGAGGGGAGATAATCAGCGGGCTAAACTTATAGTTAAGTTATCCGGTATTTAAGCCGTGTAGGCTAGGGCAGCGGCTAAATAGTTCTAGATTCCCCCCGTCTTCCGTTCCATCCATCAACAAGTTTTGGGATGGTTGTACAGGTACATGTATGTACTGTACATATATACATACTACACAGAGAGCGAAACGGGGAGTTGGACTCGGCATCAGATATTTTTAACTATGTTTTGGTATCTTATGCCTGATGGGTGGAGAAGGAATAATCAACAGCAGTAAGTTAACTAACTATGAGATAATAAACCTGCCCTTTTTCAAATCATTCTTGTTTGTTGATGCTCGAGCGGAACCGCGGGAAGGAGGAAGTCAATCTCTGTTTTCTGTTTTCCTTTGCGCTTCATCCATTTCCCCGTTCTCATCATCATCTGTCTGTCTCCTCTCTCTCTCTCTCTCTCTCTCTCTACCCCACGCATCACCACAATTTCGAGTCATTCTTTGGGCAATTTTGGGCCACGCATCATCGAGCAACCAGCGCACATATACAGCGTGTAAATCGCCATTAATATAGCGAGCGGGGCTGGGATCGGCTGCGGCTCCACTTGGCCTGACTTCTCCGCATGACCTTCATTCATTGACCAAACCTAACCTCCTCGTCGCTTTCTTCTTCTTCTTATACCAACTCCCAACTCCCAACTCCCTACTCCCTACTCCCTCTCCAGCCGCTCTGGTTCTTCTCTTCGCGTTCGTTCTCCTCCTCCCCAGCTACATCGCAATGCTAACTAGGAGGTCATAGTATCTTTAAACAGTACCCCTCCATTCCCCGGTTACATCCTTATCCCCCCCAGCTATTTTATGGTGGAGCTGAGCTGGCACCATGCGATGGTTACTCACTCCGCTCCTTGGGGCAGCCATCTTCCACTCCTTTCTTGTTGCTGCCTCCCGCCTTACCCCTCCCGTTCTCCCGTTGGTAGTGCGGAATCCATATCTTAGCACCTGGCTCGCCAATGCTCGAGATGACCCGTGGGCTCACTGGCCCATGTTCTACACGGGAGAGCATATGGGACTCTCCCTAATGGCCTCTGTCCCTGACACAGGATATGTATATCCGCTGCTTGGACGCCCTCAGGATTCATTGACTCCAGTTACGGATGAGTCTGGGTATGTTTACCTGCTGCCAAATTTGGAAACGTAAGGCACTTGCTTGTCTGACAAGAGATAAATCACATAGCTACAATATCTCGTATCCCACGTATCTGGGTGCGAAGTACGATGCTTCCACTACCAACCTAACCTACTCCATTGCCACATCCCCATCTGGAACGTCAGCAGAACCACTTCTCATTACGCTGTCATTCTTGTCACCCATTACTCCGAGTTCTACTCTTCGTCAGTCCATCCCTGCTGCGTATGTCACTGTCTTTGTCAAGGGGAACAGGAATGTTCATATCTATATGGACTTGAACGGCCAGTGGGTCAGTGGCCACCGGGGGGCTCGCATTGTATGGGATTTCGACCGTATAATTCCCGACGATGGAGGGCCGCCCCTTAATAGATGGCATGTCAAACGCGAAACGGAACAACACTTTACGGAGCACAATGACCGCTCGGAATGGGGCAGCCTGTATATCGTTGCACCAGAGGTGAAAATCCCCCCTCCCCACCCCAATCTGGTTTGTTCATTTCGCTTAATAGGAATGTATAAAATGCTAAATAATTCAACCCACCCAGGGTGTTCGATACGAATCTGGGACTTCTGCTCTACTTCGCAAGCGGTTTGCAAGGACTGTGACTTTACAAAATGTCAATGATGATGTCTTTCGGTCGATTATGGACCAGGAGCCCGTCTTTGCCTTTTCTAAGTCATTCTCTCTCAATGCGTCAGTCGACGAAGACGCAACTGTTTTGGTGCAAGACAAAGTCACGTTTTCCATTGCTCATATCCAGGATCCGGTTGTCCAATTTGCTGCCGCCCGCGGCTTGACCATGATGAAACCTCTTTGGCAGTCTTGGTTTAGAAATGTGGACAACCTTCTTTCCTTTCACTACTCTGACTTCCAAAATGCATCCACACTTGCCGCACGCTACTCTAGTCAACTCGAAATTGATGCGTTTTTGTCCGGTGCAGAGGATTACGTTGACATTGTCGCTCTCTCTGCGAGACAAGTTCTCGGTGCGACGTCATTTTCAGGGACGGCCGAGAATCCGATTCTGTTCCTAAAGGAGATCTCATCCAATGGAAACTGCCAAACAATCGATGTTATCTTCCCCTCTTTCCCGTTTTTCCTATATACCAATCCCAGATGGCTTGTCTACCTTTTGGAACCATTGATAGAACATATGCTCAGCGGCCAGTATCCAAACACTTATGCGATGCACGACCTGGGTACTCATTTCCCTAACATTACCGGCCATCCAGATGGAAGAGATGAATACATGCCAGTAGAAGAATGTGGCAATATGCTGATAATGGGACTGGCCGTCGTTAACTCGCTGCGATACCCCGCCAAGAGCTCTGTGGTCCCCGCTGTAAACACTGAAGATGATGAAAATGTTGGCATATTTCCACTCGTAGACCTTGAATCATGCGGCAGTATCGATAAGCTTGATAGCCCCTGGGCAATGACGCCTGACGCAGGTGATAAGGCTCAGAGGTGGGTCAAAAGGTCCTACAAGCTATGGAAGCAATGGACCGGATACTTGGTCGAATTTTCTTTACTCCCTGAAAATCAACGTACGTCTGTCCTTAAGTTGTTCTATGGCGATCGCTGGCTAATTCGCATGTAGTATCTACCGATGATTTTGCTGGATGGCTGGCACTTCAAACAAATCTTGCACTCAAAGGAATTATTGGTATCAATGCAATGAGCGGGCTTTCCTCAGTTGTCGGGAATAAGGATGATTCTAGGTACTACAAGGTATGTCCGAGACTAGAGATTGTTGCTTTTCTTTATTTTATTTTTATTTTTATTTTTTAAATCTGGGAGAAAAAAGGAGCTATGTTAATTTAATTATATGTTTAACAGAATATTTCCGACACGTACATCGCGAAATGGGAAGAGTATGGGTTCTCGAGGGATAAAACTCATGCTAAACTTTCCTACGACTGGTATGGTTCTTGGACTACATTGTACAATTTGTATGCAGACTCCCTTCTCTGTTTCCATTTGGAAGGCTCGGGGAGTAGTCCTTCAAGTGGGAATGAAGGTTTCGACCACGGCGACCCGCAAAAGCCCCTTGATCCGCCAAAGAAGGACCATGAAGGTTTTGTACCTAGGCGGGTTTATGAACGGCAATCAAAATGGTTTCATTACGTGCGCCAAAAGTACGGGCTCACGTTGGACAGCCGTCGTGAATACACTAAGACGGACTGGGAGTATTTCTCGATGGCAGTATCCAGCAAAAACGTTCGCCTTGAAATCCTTCAGTCGGTTGCTAAATGGCTCAATGAAACCGCGACAGTCCGCCCCTTCACGGATCTACATAAAACCGAAGGTGACGGCCGATTCCCTGGGCCCAATTTTTTCGCTCGCCCTGTAATTGGTGGCCATTTCCCTTCCTTGCTCTTGAGAGGGCATGTAATGGGAAAGCTATGGCTGGTTGGAAGTTCTTGGATGATGAAGTGTTGGAAGACGGGCCCCCCAGCTTGCCAAGGTGCCGACTGCCCAAAGGACAATGCTCATTTTGATGAAGACGATGAGGATGAGGTTGAGGACGAGGATTCGGAGTATGATAAGGATTATGACGATCATGATGACTCGGATGAAGCACCTGCTGCCTTCTGCGTTGCAGAAGAAGAACTCATTCAGAATGGTGGCCAACATACCCAATGCAAACAATAGATGGGCTGCTCCTGGTAATTAGCACCGCTGCTGTTTTCATGATGTTAACCATGCGGCATTTCTCTTTCCTTTTTTTCTTCTTTTTCTTCTTTTCTTCTTGGTGCTGGGGGTTTACCTTGGGATTATTTTGGCTTTTTCCTGGATTTTTTTGCACTTTTTTGCTACCCCGCCTATGGTATATATATGTCTTTGATCGGTTTTGGGGCTTGCTTTGATTGTTCCATTTTCAAGGCCAATGGCATATTTTCTTGTAGGCTTCCTAGTACGGGTAGTTACGGACTAGCGCCCCGCACCACACGCATATAACCCGAGTAGATAGCTACCAATAACCAATACAGCCACTCAGACGTCCAACAGGTTATGGCCCGGATTGCTTGTTTTTTTAATAACCTTCCGCTTTTTCATTTATCTGAGGTATAAAACATCTTGCGTTCTGCATCACTGAACTGCAGAAGGATCCTGACATAATGTGACTGTTTTGAAAGCTTTGATCGCGGGGGAAAAGGGTTGAAAAGATTGATTCAAGGGGGGGGTAAAACGATGCCTCCAAGAACGCGAACTACTGCAGGATTGTTGGACACACCTGCAAGCAATATGAATGAGAACAAGCATGAATATGAGCAAGAAATATGCTATGATGTGAATGATGATGGAATGTATAATATATGGAAAGACAGGACAGACAGATAGAAGCACTCATACAAAAAGCTAGGGCATAAACTCAACTTCTCTGTCAAATACTCAGGATGCTTTGTCAATGAATGTCAAAAGGACGCGAAGGACGTACGTCGAAGACCAAGCTAAGCTGTATCTGAATGGATTGAACTGAACTAGTTGGAATGGAAGAGCTCCATCCCTCGCGGATGCCCATCTATCTGATTCTCCAATAAAAGATATATATATATATACTCGCCAAGGAAGAAACAAGTGCGCGTCTCCTACAATCTTCTGGTACCGGAGCGTTTCCTTCCCCTCGACGATATATATCCATGAGCAGTATTCATATTTGGAGGTAGTTGGCATGGCAAGTGGTTGGTTAGCTTACCCGCCCAACCGGCTCCCATTCAAATATCAGACACAGTAGGTCAGATTGAATTATGATGTTTTTTGCATCAAAATGTATAGACTAATGAAAATCAAAGTTATTTCTTTGATTTTAGTTTTTTTTAAGTTGTTTGTTCTGATTATAAAGTTTTTTTTTCATGTTATTTTTGAAGTCAACTCATCATCAATCAGCCCAAATTTCAGTTGAATCAGTTCACATCACAAACTGTTTTACATAAAACAAAGTGATAGAAATGAAATGAATGAGAGATGCATTACACAAAAAAAGAAAAGAGAGGAAAGAGAAAAGGAAAAGGAAAGCAGAAAATGTTATAGAAAAAATTTGAAGGAAAAGACATTGTTAACAAAATAGAAAAACAAAATGAAATAGAATAATATTATGAAAAAATCACAACAAAAAAAAAGAAAAGGTAAGCTTTCTCTTTTTCTTTCTTCCATCCTTTTTTTCCCCTTTCTCCACCTATTTCCTATTTCCTCTGCCTAACAACCAACTCCTTCCGTCCCCTCATTAAGACAAAAATGGAGAGAAGGGAATGAAGGGAGGGGAAAGAGAAAGGGGGAAGGGAAAGGGGGGTGGATACAGTAACGGTAACGGTACAACAAGATTTATTTGCCGCCAAGAGCCGGGAAGTTCTTCTCATCGACGTTGACGCTGGGGCCGGCAGCGGGGCCGCCACGGGGGCCACCACGGGGGCCCGCACCGCCACGGAACTCCCCACCACGACCACCACCGCCCCGTCCGCCATTCCCGCCACGGCCACGATCGCCGCCTCCACGGCCCCCGCCACCGCGTCCCCCACCACGCCCGCCGCGAGGCTGCTCGACAAAGCGCATATCCACCTCGACAAACGCCTTCTCCTTCCTGGCCTTCTCGCGCCGTGCCTTCTCCTCTTTACCCTTGATGTACGCCTCCTCGTCCTCGTCGCGCTTGAACTGGCGGGCCGTGGCCCATTTCTTGTCAGCCTTGACGCCCTCGTTGGGCTTGCGCGCTTCCTTGACGCCCAGATCCTCGCGGCGCTGCTCGGCTTGCTCGGCTAGGTATTCGGCGTAAGATTTGGCTTTGTCCTCGGCTTCCGCGGCGGCAGCGGCAGCAGCGGCAGCTTCAGCGTCAGCGGGTTCACTGCCGGGGCCTTCTTTCTTTTCTCGCTTCGCGGAGGCGGCGGCGGCCCGTTCGTCATCCCAGTTGGCTTCGCCGTCGGTCGCGCCCCAACCTTGCTCGACTTGTTTGTTGGTTTCGCTGTGGAGGGGTGTTAGTAAACGTTTTGCTTTTTATTTCCATCTTTATTTCGGTTTCGTATACTGGAAAATATGCTTACGTTCTGTCCGAGCGGTTGGTACGATCCTCACGAAGGAGGTTGCCGCGCACGTCGCGGTTCTTCACGACACCAGTTGGGATATCCGGTAGGGGAGCATCAACAGGCTTGCTGCGGTTTGCTCGGGCGCTCGCGTCATGGTCACGGAATGCTAAAAAAGAGAAATTGAAATGGGTTAGAATCTCCAAGACAAATAAGAAATATATATATATATATATATATATATCCATACCTTGCTCATTCCCATAGCGATTTCCTCCAGCACGTCCCGCACGAGGAGCACGCGCATTGGCAGGGTTGGCAGAACGGGGAGGTTCGGAAGGACCCTCACGCTTCCCATATCGAGGGGCGGCCTTGGTTATAGCGCTGGTGGGTGGCGATGGCTCCCGATCGGAATCCTCCTCGGGGTCATTACCTGAAGTAACAAACGGTTGTTAGATTAAATTGATAATATGATATATATATAGAATGGCCCCTGCGAGGAGGGTAGGGGAAAAGAAAGGCGAAAAAAAAGGAATTACATACCAAGAAGCTCGTACAGGTTCTGTTTGTGTTGAGAAGGTGGGTGACGATGTTAGCATATTTCTCAAATCATTTTTTCTCCCCTTTTTTTTCAGGTTTCTCCACAAATGAAAACAGCCATCTAACAACAACACACAATCAAAAAAAGTCAATCAAAAACCCCAATTTGTACACACGAACGTGACCACAATTGATACATCTATCTCATCAATTGCCAATTGCAAAGTCACAATTCCCGAATCCAAGGCCACTCCTCCCAATCTTTTCCAAAAACAAACAAACAAACAACAAAATCAAAAAAGTAATATCGTACCTTGGACCGGACGTCCGACATGACGCCTGGCTTTTTGTGTGGGAAAGGGGATATGCCTTCCTGGGAAGGCTTTCTGTTATTGCAGCAATTCGGTTTTTTTTAAGACGCGGGGGGGCGGGAGCTCTGGCTTTTGGGGAGGTATGAGCCGGGCGCCAGGCGGATGATGTGGGAGGATTGCTTTTTATGCGAGTTTGAATTTGGGGGGAGGGAGGGAGGGAGGTTGGTGGTGGTGGTGTGGGTTTTTGTTAAGTTTCCCTGGATTGGGTTGTTATTTTATAGGTTTATTTTGAAATGAAGTTTTGATTCGTATTTTGTAAGAATTTCAATTGTTGTCTGCGGAGGAGGGGAGGAGGATGGTGGGAGGTGAGGTGGGTGAGGTGGGTGAGGTGAGGTGAGGTGAGGTGAGGTGAGGTGAGGTGGAAGTGGAATTGAGATGGGAGAGGACTGAATAGCTGAGTCTTGTGGTGTGTGGGCTGTCTGTCTGGATTGGGCTGGGATTGGGGCAGGGCGAGGGTAGGGCAAATAATAAACACCACAACTATGGAATCGACACATACATACCTCGGGGCAAGGATTATATAGAACCCTGCGCGGAAGGTGAGCAGACAGGTATTGGCTGTTCGTCTGCGTGGTTGCTGTGAGGCGGGTTGAGGATGTTGAGGATGTTGAGGGTGTTGAGGATGTTGAGGATGATGAAGAGGAGGAGGATGAGTTCTCTTTCTTTCTGAAGGAGGTTCGTTCGCCTTCCCGATTGAGGTGGAATTTGCTAAGCGAATTGGCGGCTGGCGAGGGAAGCAGGAAGCAGCCAAACAGGACAAACACGCCCGGAAGCGGAGTCGGGCCGGAGGGGAAAAGCTTATGTCGGTTAGGGCTTAGGGTAAACAACTGACCGGGGAGTCTGTATGTTATTATATTGTTATTGATGAGTAACTTAGGTCAATATATAGTTATGAATTCAATTTGTGTCTCTCTTTGCAGCAGTTACAGTGTACCTAGCTATGATGACTAGGGGTGCAGCTTAAGTATCTTATGACCAGACAAGAGAGAGTGGCAACAAAATAAGAATTAAACTATCATGGATACTATTCAACAGGCCATGTATGATGTAGTATGATGTAATGGTAAGACATCACAATGAATGGAATCACAAACAAGAACAACAAACCAGCACAACATCACATCATCACAGCAGCATAATAATAATCATCATCATTATCAATTCTCTATTGTCATTTTCATTTTCATTTTCATTTTCACCTTCCATCATTTTCGTTTTCATATCTCCCTCAAGTCAAATCATATCAAAATCAAAGCTAGCTTTAAAAACAACAAAAGGAAACAGGCCTTCCTCATAAATCCCATGATATCAAGAATAAATATGATGAGGAAACATCCCGCCCAAGAGTATACCAAAACAAAAAATAGATGGTATCCACAGAATATAGCCCGGAAGGTAAACAAATAAACAGGCAGATATATCAGATGTATATATATATATAAACAAGAGAAAAAACCCCAAAACAAACTTCAAAAGAAAGCAAGACGCCTTTCAAAATGCCCTTCCTTCGTATCAATGGGTAAAATAAACCTTTTCTATCTTCGTTTTGCTTGCTCCGTTATCTTGTCCTTCTGTTTCCCGGGGCGCAAATATATATAAACATACACATTGTCCCAAGTGAATCTAGACTTCAAGAAAATGACCCAAAAGAATCTTTCGCCGCGGCTTTTATATAATCATGATCCGCTGGAAAAAGGCATATCGAGATGAACCTCCGTTTTCGAAACGCCGTAGAGTGTAAATCTTCTGTGTTGAAATTTGGCTCATCCAGTCCAGTCTTTTGTGTCATTCAATGAAAGAAAAATAAAATAAAATAAAATAAAGTTCGCGCCGGGTTCGGGGTTTCGCGGGTTTCGTGGGTTTTTGGTCGATTAATTTTCATATTATAAATTAAATTTCATTTGATTTATTATGTTTTTCATGGCCGTGCATGGCTCTGGGTGTAGCTGAACGGAGTCTGGAAGTGCATGCTTGCCGTCAGGCCAAATGGATCCGCATCCAGCATGGGATCGAAGTGATCGAAGAACGAATCGCCCCGTACAAAGGCTTCTGTTTCTTCGCGGGTTGGCATGTCGACGGTGGTAGTAGCAACATGAGTAGCAGCAGTGGCGGCAGCAGCAATCCGTTGCTCGCTCAACTGAGTCTGAGTCTGTGGCTGCGCTCGGGCGCTCAGTGGTCGCGGCTCGTGGTAATCGGGCGTGTACGAGGCACCTTCTCCGGAGCCGTCAGGGTCGGGTTGTTGTTCATCGAGCATGTCGGCTTGGGCGTCATATTCCTGTTCTATACGACAAAAGAGAAGGAATCAATCTAGGACCAATAGAGACTTATTTTGAGACTGGGGGAGTAAAAAACAAGAAGGGGGAGAGGAGATTTTTTTTTTCTCCTTTTCATTCCTTTCCAGGCGGGAGGGATAGGGGCTTACTTGCCTAATTGGTCATAATGCCTTTGGAACGGTGAAAGATAATAGCCTGAACCCATCCCGTTCGCGTTCACCACACTCCCCGATGGAGTGTGTGGTTGGGCAGCCGTCGTTGGCGTGGCGGGATCGGAGGGAGGGACTGAAATTGTGTGGTGGCCGTTCGTACCGTTACCGTTGCCGTTATAGCCGCCGATCGGGGATAATAATGGCGGTCGTTGGCGCTGGTGCAGCTGGGGGATATTTTGTTGCTGCTGGGGATGCATTTCCGTACCAGACGGGGACATGCCGCCTTGCAGGCTGAAGCCGGGGGACTTAGCGGTGGAAGGCGACGAGCCATGAGAGATGGGCGTGGGATGCAATTGCGGGGATCTCAGTGTATAGGAATCCTCACGATGTGCCTGTGAGATATTAGAATGGTCAAGCTTTTGTGGCATTCCGACCTTGTGACGATTGACAGACTGTCTGTTGATAGCGGTTCGTGAAAGAGGGGAATTTTGGCTTATGGGTTGTCTAGCAGGTTTGGCTGGTGGCACATCGGGACTGCCACTTTTCATACGCAGCTCAGCCTGAACATCAATGCCTATAATCGGGGAGAAGTGTGGTGGGGAAGGGGGGATACAATTAGCCGACGTCCTACATAGCTATAATCTTTTGTATAGACGCAAGACGGCACAAGGGTTATAATAATGTACCTTTTTCCAACAGAATCGCTCCAGTAGCGAGGTTCTTGTAGCGGGAGCATAAGACACTCATCAGCGGCGCTACGATGGCTCTGCTG